GCAGCGGCGCGGAGCTCCCGGCCGCAGGGTCCCTTTGGTAGTGGGTCTGGCTGGGGCCGGTTTAACAATTCCCCTGGCCCCGCTCCAGACAAGATTGGGAAATGCTCTAGGGTTAAAAAAACACAACATGTTCCTGAACACGCTTTGTTTGTTTTTAAACCAGAGCCCGGCACAGCCCGACCCCACAGGCGGTTGAATTAGCACAACCGGAGAGGCAGTGACCGGGCACACGAGTGGCATCGTTTTCAGCTGGATCTGCCCTGGAGCAGTCGCAGCCTGAGCTAGTTTAAAGCCACTTTGAGTTGCTTTCACCCCTCGGCTGCGGGGGAACCATGGCCAACTTTCCCGGCTCCTGGGGCAGGGATGGAGGCAGAGCAAAGGCTGTTTGTGTCCCCGGTTCTTTTAGGCTGAGCAGTTTTAATACAGATTTTTAAACCTTTTGATTCTCGACTGGGTTGGTTGCGTTATCAGGCTTTTCGCATTTCGAGCAACCTTTGCTCTGAATGTGCAAATTCTTCCAATATATGTTTCTGCTGTGACGTTAACCCTCAAGTGGCCAATATACTCCTGTATCAGAAATGTAGGAAAACTTACAGGAAAATGTCGTGGGCTGGGACAGCCATGGCATCTGCCCCTTGCTCCAGGCTGGAGCATCACTGTGAGGTTTGCAGCGTTCCCCGTCACCACCTGTCATCCTTCTGAGCTGCAAGGCTCTGGTTTTAAGACAGAAACTTGAAAGTGTTGGTGAGACCTAGAACTTGGGGAATGGGATGTTGATTTTGGCACCCTAACAAGCATCTGCTCAACCTGCAGCAGTTCATACCAGACTGGACAGGTAGGAGATAAGCACCATGGGGTGGAGTAGAGAGAGGAGGAAGGTCCTTTTGCAAAGTACCACAACCCCCCCGCAGCCCTCAGAGGTCAAAGGAAAGCTGCTTCTGAGATCTGTACCAGATAAGAGGGAAACCACAAGGCCAGAGCCTAAGTGGATAAATTGTTCCCAAGTGGATTCTCCTCGGACTCTAAATAAACATCAACACTTAATGAGCACCTCGGCGCTGGGCTGGGGTGGGCAGTAGGGGCTGGTGGCCATGTGCTTTCTCTGATAACCTGCAGGTTGTCGGGTGAGCTCTCCCATTAGCTCCTGCCTTCAGATGGCATCTGGATGAGTTACAGGGTACAAACAATTCATTTCAAAGTATTTACAACCTAGGTTTGGATGATGCAATTGAATAAAGAAAGCTGATGACAGCCTGGTATCATCTCCCAGATTGAAACAAAGAGTTCACTTCTTGACTTTTCCTTTCTCAACAAACTAAACTAATTAAGCTCTTTCCAGGCCGAAGCTTCTCTGCAAACTTTCTGCACGATACCTGATTTGCAGAGAAAATCTGGTCAAATCCCACAGCTACTGAAGAAAAGAGAACTCTTGTTAGATCACCTGGAACGTGCCTGTGAGTGTCATTGCTTCACTGGCCGTGCTGGGACCTGAGTGTGGGTGCAATGTGCTAGCAGTTTCAGTGCAGGACAGGAGAGCCTGGCACACCCTCTGCCCATCTTCTTCCCAGCCGCAGGTCATCCCCCAGGTGAGATCCACCTGGATCTCTCATCCACCCCTCAGAGATGGTTCCTCCTGTCCTTGTTGAGTAGACTTATGATGGAGACTACGAGGATGAAGCCCTCATCTCCAGGCAGCTTTCAGAGGTGCTCTAGATGGAAGAAGACGTCTCTCAGCTCCAGTCTCTATTGAAGAGCAGCTGATGTCCCCTCCCAGCACACTCTCTGGAGGAAGCAAGGGCAATTTGCAGCCCATTTCCAGGCACTTTGAGTACAACCCTGTGTGCTGCACCCGGGCTAGGCTTCCTTTGTGATTTGCATCCTGTATTGAGTAAGACTGCTTTTGTCTTGGGACAAAAATGCCTTGGGTGAGAGGCTGCCACAAATCTCAACATTTCAATGCAACACAACAGGCCCACAGGTTTCTCATCCATCCTCATTGCCCGTTGATAGACAGTCAGCTGCCTGGTGGCTTTGAAAGAGCCATCGCAGGTCACTGGAGATGTCCCGGAGGGTTCAAGGCAGGAATACAGAAATCAGTTGGACCTCGCTGGCTGCGAGCAGCTGTTTGCCACGTGTGCCGGCTAGCAATGGGGAGATCTCCACTGCTCAGAGATCGTTAAAATCTGGCTCATAATCTGAACATCTCAGAGCCGTAAATCTCCCAGGAATAAGTCTTGCTCTTGCTCCTCTGATGTTTCCTGTGGGGCCAGAAATACCACGCGGAGAGCCCGGAAATACCTAGTGAGATTTCGGTGCTCCAGTCCAGTCTGGAACTAATAAATGTGGAAGCAGTTATGAAAATATCTCCCTCTCTGAAATTAATAAAAACATATATCAGACCACAGTCAGACAGGTTTATGTCACAAGTTAAGTTGTGAGTAGTGTCTGTCGCTGGTGGAACCAGCTCCCATGGCATGAGGGGCTGGAGGGGTGTGCAGGCAGCCACCCTGCCTGGTTTGCAGCAGCTGGCGGGCGCTCTCCAAAGGGATCTCGTGCTATGGGGAAGAGCTTTGATCTCACAGCACTGGAAAAAACATTGATAATTTTGAGTGTCGACAAAGTAACCTTCAGTAGCTGATCTGATGGGACTTGTTCTTTCCTCCTATGGGTGTGATCTAGGACCAGCTCTGGACTTTCTCCCTGTATCTGTTCTCAAAAACACATGCTGTAGACCACATACTGGTTGTTGGCTTTGCCAAGCTGTCGGCTGCCCAGTTTTGATGGCCAGCATTTGAGCTGGCTGCAGTTGCTGGTGGAGTACTGGTTCACCATGGATGTGCTGGGTTTACGCCTGCTCCCTACAGGGGTGAGGGTAAACCCCAAAACACATTCATGGGTTGAATCCATCAAGGTCTTCTGTTTAGTGTTTGCCTGTCCTGCCCACTCCTGACCATCTAATGAAAGACCACCTTTCCTGCCGACAGGCCTGCCAATGACCACAGCTGTTGGGGAGGTCTCATATGTGGAGATGAATCTCGTACGGAAGGCAGGAGGGAGCACTGTGGGTTGGCACCGCTGTGTTCAGCTCCTGAGAGCCCACTGGCAGGATAAGCATCTACTGCCCTTTCTCTACAGGCTTGATTTTGAGCTTGGTTTGGCCAGTGAAAATAAGATCTTCAGATAATTTAGCTCCCAAACTCCATCAGCTTGACCAAACTTGTCCCCATTTTTCAGTAACTTAGAAACTCAGCCAAGCTTGAGCAGTTCTTCTTAGAGACAGCAAAAGACACATCCTTACCAGGGAGCAAAGTTTTTTCTTTTAAGTCTTGGCCTCAAATATGAGGTCAATAGATTTTCTTTAAGGAAAGAAATCCTCAAACTTGTTAGCATTGGCACAACACTGTATTTTTCACTAGCCTTGTTTCTCATTAGCGGCTGAATCATTTTAGCAGGAACTTTTCCAGAAATATTCAGCCTGAGTCAGACACCCGGTCTCAAGCATTTCAGCCCAAACAGTGAGTTTGGCATTTTTTTAAATAAAAGAAAATGAGGGTCTTGTCATTGGAAATCTCAGGCAGGCGTAAACGTTGCTGTTACCAACTTGGGCTTCTGTATTTCACAGCGTTGTTACGCTTTGCAGAACCAACGTTGACAGGAGGACATCTCCAGGGCCTCCCAGTCCCTGGGGTACATGGTGGGTTGGGAATTGGGCAGAGTGGGAAGTGAAGGGCACTTGGCGTATGCAGCAACCCCAGGGAGGCCCTGGGTCACTCTCATGCCATCTTGTCTGGAGCTTTTCTGCACAATTCCCATTCCTTAGTCTTCATGCACGGAAAAGCCTTCTGTTCCCCAACCTTTTTTTGTGCCACCGAGATTTTCTCAGAGTGTTTCTCCCCAGGACCCGTCTCTCTTTCTTCACCTACATTTGCAGTTTGGCTTTTCCTTGCTCTCAGGGATGTTTCTTGTGGGTGGAGAGGGATAAGAGACGTTTGGCCTCGTGGGCAGTAGATCGGAGTGCGAGGGGCTGCCCTAAGAGCCTTCAGCCCTGGCAGTGGGGGTCTCTGGGATGCTTCAGTGAGGATGGGGGTTTCCTTCCTGCACCACCAGTGCACGCTTGCTTTTGCTGCAAGCCAAGTTTGCCGCTCCAGTTTCATGGGCAACACCAGCCATACCTGCATCTTTTGTGGTGCGTCCGCACACTTTCCTCTGTTTCTTTGCTCCGACTGTCAGGAAAAACCTGGGGCCCGGCGCAAACCCTGCGTCTCCCCTTGCAGCCACAACACCCCAATGGATTTCCCCTTCGGTGGATTAGCCCGAGCAAACCAAACCAATTTCCGATCCTCCCCCTTACTGAGACTTAACAGCACACGCAAATGGATTTTCCTGAGCAAATGTTTTTGTTTAGTGTCGGCCAACTGGGTCTGTGGTGGGTGGCACCGAGCCACACGGGAGGGCGCGGGGCCGCCTGCCCTGCGAGCAGAGCTGGATCCGGCTGCTCATCCCAACGGCTCCAAGTTCCCGTGGCCTCGCGTGCTGGCTGTGCCGTGGACGACTTCACTGCTGCCATGGCCGGTGTTCATCCATGCTTTGCCATTTCACTCAGCAAGCATGGACAGAAACCCCTTCCCCAGCTCAGGCAGTGTCTGTGTCCCCCAGGGGATGTCCCCGTAGGGTCACACCACCAGGATCACTCACCGGGCACAGCCCCGGCAGCCCAACACACTGTGCAGGACCAGAGGGGTCCGGCAGCACACAGCGGTGCCGGAGCTCGTCCAGCAGCTCCACGTTCATGCTGAGTTGCTCCAAAACCTCAAGCCAGCTGGCAGCAGCCTTGAAGGGAGGTGATGTCAGAGGGCATCAGGGACTCACTCCCCCTGTCTCCATAGAGGTTTTCTCTCTGCCTCCCAGCCCAGCAAGCAGACAGGTCTCCACTGTCTCTGACTGCTCCATCTCTGTTGTCCCCTCTCTTTGATTTAAGTGTGACTGTTTCCTTGGCCAATATGACCCTTAAAAATAATCTCTCTGAAGATATCTCAGGGGTCTCCTGCCAGCAATCCCTTCCCCAGATGGGCACGGGCAGGGTGTCCCTCTCAGTGGCCGGTACGGTGCATGCAAGTCTTGCTCCTGCAGAAGAGAAATAATGGCTCAGGCTGAGCTAGAAATTTTCTGGCAAAAAAACTTATCTGGGAAAAGGATAACTTTATGGAGACTGAGACTATTCATAATTTCAAGTAAAATTTACAGATTACTTTCAGCCCCTGGCTTCTTCTATCCTCCCCTTTTCCTTCCCCCTCCCCTAAATTATTGTTTGCAAAAATTAAAACAAAATGTTTTGGGGTTTTCGTTTGTTTAAAAAGCAATTTGCATTTTGAAAATTGCCAAAATATAAGTTTTGGAAGGGTGGGGTCTTTTGAAAGGGCAGCATTGTCATTGCTGAATGAAAACAGCAGAGGAATGCGTCCTGGGAGATGCAGGGCGCTGGGATGCGGGGCCCCGGGGACGCGGCAGCAGCACAAAAGACCACAACCTCAGCTCCCACCGCACGGCTCCAGCCTGCGCCTCCCGTTCACGTATCTCTTTTCGTTCTCCCAAATGGAAACTCCTTCTGGCTTTGACCTTCTTTGATGGATTCATTTGACCAAGTCACTGTGTTTAATACGGAGATGCTTCTGCTGTAGTTTCTTCGCTCAGCGCCAAACCACAGCTTTCCTCTTTTCCACTCTGACCTTCTCCGGGTTTCTGAGCATCTGCATTTAAGTGATATCTGGTTATTCATACTGGAGCCTGGCAGCCCAGGTAGAGACTGTTTGATGAAGCTCTGTACATCTGCGTGCAATAAAGTCAGCAAACAAAAGGCTAGTGACGTCCTTGGCAAAATAAGACAAAGAGAAGAGCAAGAGGCAGCAGAACTGAGTTTTGTTGAGCAAATGGAGCCAAATCCTTTCATCAGAGAGGTCTCAGCACCTGAGACATGTTTTGCCTATAGCTGGGTCTGCACTGTCAGCAGCCTGGGCAGGGGTGTCTTCTCCACTGGGTGAAAAGGAAACTTTGAACAGTGTAGGTGATACCAGTACTAGGAGGACATTTTTATTGCAGATGACAAAGATGTTCATAGAAAGAAAAGATGGGTTGCTAAAGAGCCGCCCACCGTGGTAGGGAAGTGCAAACCAAGAAGCACTGGCTGGAAATTAAAGCCAGGCCAATTCCTGTTAGGAACGTGGCAAAATGCTTTAGCACAGCGGGAAATTAACCGTCGGGCGAGGGAGAGGGTGGGCGGGAGCCACGTTTCCCAAGTGTCACCATCCAGGGAAAATGTGGCCGGGCGAGTCACACGCCCTGCCCACAGCACCTGGGGACCGTGCACAGATTCGGAGCTGGGATCCAAAAGCATCATGATCTGCTGCTGGGTGCCTGTCAGTCCTGACGACCGGCTCCCAGTGACAGTGGTGTGCCCAGGCATTGCCCACACTCAGCATCTCCAGGCCCCCACCACCCGTTGTCTCTGAGCCTGTAGCACCAGCGTGATGGATCCCATCACAACGTGTCCCAGCCTTGTCCCCAGCAAGGACTTTCTGAAGCCCGGACGGGTCATTTATTGCATTGCCCTAATTCTTCCATCCCTATGTGCTGTTGTCAGGAAAAAATAGGATGGCTATTTTCCTTCAGTCAGACCAAGCCTCTCCCATTGGGCACCTGCAAACACATCAGGCTACAGATGGAGTTGCCAGCTAGCCCTGGCTGGTGGCCAGCAGTGCACAGCACTGGCCACTCAGGACTCAGCGTGAGCACAGGAGACAGTAATTTCAATTAAAACCACTCTCCTTGGGTCAGTTTGGCCCATTCTGTCTGTACAAACAGGTGGATCAGGAGAGGAGTGGATGATGGAAAAGCACTGTGGAGGGGCTTAGGAGGTGATCGATGCCCAGCAGACACTGTTGATGTCCTGGGAATGCAGGTGGAAGGAGGGGATGGAGCCAAGGCCAAGCTGATGGAGCCAAAAAAAGCTGAGAAATGGTGGATGGTGGTTGTCACTCCCTGGTTTATGGTGCTTGTAGAGAGGTCAAGTGTGGGGATGCTGGGCATGGAGAGGGGCTCATCCAGCCCTCATCTGCTCCTGGCTCATTCCCTCCCTTCTGGGAGGGTTTATACTCTGAGACATACACAATCTTTAGGTCATTTACTCTGAATAAGGACAGGGACAGCAGTTTTGGGGAGCTCCCCACAGCCTTTTGTGAGGTTCAGCTTCTTCCCTTCTCCGGGCACTGGATTTTCCCATCCCTGTAAGATCAATTTAAAACTGATCCCAGGAGCAGGGCTGCCAGCAGCCTCGTTCCTCCACGTTCTCGTACAGCTCTGCCCTGGTGGCATGAGCGGAAATATTTGCAAAGATCTTGAGACAATCCCAGGAGTTCTGCTTCCTGAGTTTGCAAAAACATTTCTGCTTATCGAGCAACCCAAAGAAATGTGAAGATTGTCACTCACTCTTTGGGTGGGCTCAGCTTTGAATTTTAAAAAGGGATTTGCCAATGCAACCTTGCAAAATACTCCAGTATCATGTCCAGATCTCCTAAAATTCAAGATCTAGGAGGAGGTGAGCTTTCATACTTTTTGGAAAACAGGAGTTTCCGCCTCCTTCAAGAAAGAACTAGGTCTTCTGTAAGGCCCTGCCACCTCCAGGAGAAATATGTCTTCATGCTGGTCAACAGGGACCAAATCCCATGGTTTGTAGTGCCAAAGGCAGAGCTGCCAGTGAGTCTCAAGGCTTCGAAGGATGGAGATGTGCCTGCGTGGTCACAGGCTGCAGCAGGGATGGCAAAGCCTCGACTGAGGGACTTAAATCTTTTTTTTCCTCTGCTTGAGCTCAGTCCTGAGGCTGGTGATGTCAATGCAGGTGTTGCCTTGGTGGTTACCTACAGCCAAGAGGACGTCCTTCGTGCTGCAGCCCTGGTGCCCCTCTGGGATACTCTGTGCCTGGGGGAAGGCTCTGCCCTAAACGGAGGAACCAGCCCTCAGCCCTGAGCTTCCTGCACGGTTGGGAAAAGGGTTTGATCTCAGCATATCAGTTACCTTTCCATAAAACAAGGATTAAGACTTTAAATACACCATCACCTCCTTCCTGAAAACTCAGCTCTGGGGTTCCCAACACAAGAAGGACATGGAGCTGTTGGAGCGGGTCCAGAGGAGGACACCAAGATGATCCAAGGGCTGGAGCACCTCTGCTATGGAGACAGGCTGAGAGTTGGGACTGTTCAGCCTGGAGAAGAGAAGGCTCCAGGGAGACCTTCTAGCAGCCTTCCTCCTTTAGGAAGGAGCTACAAGAAAGCTGGAGAGGGGCTTTGGACAAGGGCGTG